CGCACTTTGAAATAAATAAACTGATATAAGACCTTGACAAATGATCAGTGAATTCCACGACAGAAATTAAAAGATTGAATCTCCAAAGACACGTCCCAGAGAGCGATGGCAAAGATATTAACACTGCAAACTGGAACACTGTAGCCTAGCCTCTATCATGTTCACAATGTTTTCGACAAAAGAAGTAATGGAATGTCGGAATTCTCATGACACCCAATCCGTTAAAATTGATCGCTGTAACAAACCAACGGTTGACGAATAGACGGATATTGGTGACGGCACAATACGCCCCCACTAAAGTATCAACGTGTATAAATACTTACTTTCAATGAATTTATATAGGGTTCATGTCGATAAGAAGGTAATTAAAGATGAATTATATAAAAGATTTAGATAGAGAGTTAGTCGTTCTTTCTAACATAGTTCAAAAATAGATAATGCAAAATGACTACATTTATTTTGAAAATTTCATTCAAATTACTTTGACGTTTTGACAAGATGTTAGCCTGGATTCGTCATTTTTAAATTAAACCATTAAATTACATCTGTGTTTTAATCCATTTAGATATCAACCATCCGATGGTCTGGGTGTTAATTATAGGCTTGTCATGTGAATAAATGTCTAAAAATAGTTAATATAACATTTGAAGCCAAAACTAAGACCTACAATATGCCGGTTTAGCTCTTACATAATGCATCTTTGAGCTTAGTTTCAAAATCTTTCCCCCAACAAGGGGCCAGCAAATTAGTTCTACAAAAGTGTTTGTACCATATTAAACAACCCGAATATGCCTCCCTTTTCGTTTCGTTTTTTTATACTTTCGATGGCCTACACCACATGAAGATCTGACCGGTTGTTGTGGAAGATCGCGTCAGGGGTCGTAAGAGCGACTTTTGATCCTATGACGCCAGAAATTGATTAATCAATCAGCGTAACAGACCGTTTCATTGGCTAATCCCTCACTTCAACTAGAACGTCCGTTATATAACAACTCTTCCAGATACTAGTGTTGTGAAGACAAGTAAAACAAAATTTTGAACTATAAAAAAACGAAACGAAATAGGATCTGTGTTTTAATCAGATTGGGTTTTCCCCTTGTCCGTGGTGCAGGATGGAGGGCCTGACAAGGACAGCTACCTAGTCGTTCAGATGGGACGAAAAACCGAGGTCCCATGTTCACATTGCCGTGCACGTAAAAGATCCCTTGTCGGGACAAAAGTTTCCCCATAGCATACTGTATTATAGCATATGCCCGTCTTCATTAGATCAGTTGTAGCAGAACAGTAGGACGTTAAACACCATTTCATATCATAATCCGGGCCTGGACACCCCTACTAAAGTATAACATTTACATGTGGGAGTTTGGCTTAGTTTGTCGTTGCTCAAATAGTTCAATATAAGAAATAGTAGTATTTACCAAAATCACTTGAGGGTCGCTAGAGACCCAATACCCTGATACTTGCTGAACTCTAGCACTGCCTGCGTCAACTGAGAAAGTCAAATTTTTCAAATGATCCCAAGTTTCGTTGCCCCATTTTCTGAAAAGAAGGGGGATAACTTTATAATGTGCACCTATTAAAAAAAAGAAAATTACAGATATTTTAACTAAAGCCGGCTGGGGGAGGAGGAGAGGTGGGGGATAAGCTATTTCTTGAGACCAAATGACACAAATGATTTGACACGTGAAGGCGGAGCATTCTAGTGGTTTGACCGCTCGGCTACAATAGAAAACAGACACGGGTCCAATACCATCGTTTATCTTGATTGGTACGGACGAGGTTTCGCCTAATATATCTGACAGGCGCAGTGTACCCCAGATGTGAGTTGGCGGGTCCTTGGCTCCAACATTAGAGACTTTTGGCAAGCGGATTTTTCCCATCCATATCCCGTATCCGTATCGTATGCGTGATACGTTGCGTCAATGTAGTTTTAGAGTTTTGGCAGATTTTAGCAATTTTTGGTTTCACCAATGTATCATTTCAGAAAGTTTAGCCCGTATGCAGACAGGCGGGAAAAATATGAAAATTCCGAGAAAAACCCATCAAAAACAATGATTAAATTCCAGTCGTTATCACTGTTAAAATCACATCAAATATACACCTTCGTGTTCTAGGATACACATAGATTCATAAAAAGGCTATGATGCAACATTTCAGCGTCTAAAAGTAGCAAAAAGACGGTAAAAAGACGACAGTGTTATACGGACCATTTCCGTATGAAAACCGTTCCATACTTGCTGCCGTATCCATGTGCCGTATCACGTATGAGAAATACACAGACATTGATTACGTCACACGCAAAATCCATACGGATACGCGATACGGACCAGGAAATTACGCTTGCCAAAAGTCTCTATTGTAGTCATTTCCCTCTCGAATCCAACGAACATATTTCAGTTATGGTTAACATATGACCCCGTTTTATTCGGTTGGAAAAGCTCCTGCTCTTCTGCAAGTTAGTCCACCGTGTACACAGGCTACACCAAACACTATTATTAAATGAAGAATCGTACGTGGGAAATAAATCTTACAATTTCTAAATCTCGTACTTACTGGACCAACTCTAATGGCGTATCTCCGACTGCGTACACTTCCAACAAGGCACCAGCCCCGTCCGAAGTTGTGTGGGGAGTAAATTTATCAGCTATAACCGTGATGTCAATATTTGGGAATCTGTCTAGAATCCTAACAGCGGAAGATAATCCAATAACACCAGCTCCAACAACACAAATCGTCTTCATGGTTAGAAGAACACCTACTTGTTGTTTTGTTGTGGACGATTACGAAATGAGTGTAATACTATTAGGTCACCACACAAATTATAGCTAAAGATACGACTAGCGTACTTGGTACATCTAGCCAACGTTATGTTCTTATCACTGACATTGTAAAACTAGAATGCACCGATGAGTGTTACACTAATCAGGCCAGCACTGTGAGTTTAAGGCCAATTCAAGCAGTATAGAATGTTTATGTCGATGTAACACAACAGTGTTTATAATTTACCACGTACTACCGTTTGTAATATAATGGGGACTGCTGCCACGGAGAAGTCTGTCTACGATATCACCCTTGGTAGAAGTGGACGTAAAACTCCAGGAACGAACGAACAAACAGAGGAGTCTAATGTAATATGAATATGATTTCAACCTGACCTAAAAATGCTCCCGGTTATGCAGATATTAATTAACTTGTTTTAAAATTATGATTAAAACAAGATGTTTCGATGATATATTAATACCGGTCCTAGAAGTTTGCTTTGTCTGCGTCTTGTTATTTGAATCTACGAATCGTTTCGTCCCAAAACTACATGTAAGATTTCGGGCAATTCATAGAGGTTTCTGAATGATAACTGTGTGCGCATTACTTATATATAGAAGGATAGTTTTCGTTGTTCCCGGTCATGATTACTACCTTTTATTAATAATTTGTCATATTTATAAAGTTTAGCATATATTTTTTGAACTGACAATAAAGTTTCAATCGACGCTCCATTCAATACACCGGGGAATGCTGAATGTCCTTAATAGAATTGTACATATTAAAGGACATAAAGGATTTTGTACTTCCATCAGCCCCCTCCCTCCTCCTCCAACCCGTCCATCCATCTTCAGGTACACGTTGCTGCACAATTCCCTGTTAAATATTAAATTGTTTGTGTTTGCAAATTCGAGATTGTATCCAATATTTAGTATTTTCTACACTATTGGTCTTTTGGCCTAAATGCTAAAAATAACCTACTGAACCATAATAGGGTGTATTGTCTATTGACCATAGATGATTCAAGGCAGCTGTGTGTGTTTGGAAAGTATGTGGATTTGCCATGACGTAATGTTAACAATATTTTTGGAAATAATACGCATATAAGTTATACTACTTCTTCCGGGACATTTTTTACGAGCTCTGCCTTTTCCTCTCTGTACGATTCCAGTTGTCCAATCATCACCTTTCTGTGTTTCACTAATGGTGTTTGGAGAAAGGAGAACCAATCTCACGTCCTTCAAATTTTTCCGGAGATTAATTCATTTGGACATAGTGTGCTGCATTGCATTCCTGTTTATCTAATCCTTTCGTATTAACCAACCAAGAAAATCTGAGCTGTTAAAATTAATCAATTGTCGAGACATCGCCATCTGAAAATAATCTGAATGGCGTCATAACTGTGCCAGCCTTCGTTAAAGAAAGCTTTTCGAATTCTGTCTTTACAGAGTGATAGGTGTATATGCAGATAACAATTCTTAAACATCATGATCAGTTCCTGGCCCATAGTACCCGCGTAGTTGTTTAAATGATCAAGGGATAGGTTGACCTACATAATATGGCCTTAGCAATTATGTAGGGGGATTGCAGTGGCGTTGGTGGAAGAAGATTCGAGGTGTGTTTGGAAAATATGTTGATTTTTTGCCACACACGCACATACGAGTTGCTTACAATTTTTTGGGTGGTAGTGAAAAACCAATAGCATTTACATCGCGTTTATTGACAAAATCTGAAAAAAATATATTCGCAAATTGACAAGGAATCTCTGAGTCTAGTATGAGGAATCAACCGGATCCGTTTCATATAAAATACATACCGTCGAAGAAAATATAATTCGAAGACACATAGAGCAAAATTTGGACAATTCCTGTGATCCGAAAGTTGTGATTAGTGTTTCGAATAAAAATGATCCAAATGATATATCTATAGCGTTAGTGCCCGGAACAGCTAATCGTAATATCGATATCAGTATTTCTAATGTGCAAATTCCTATCACTGATAAGAATGTTGAACTAAGTGTGCCAAGTGGTTCAAATAATGATTCAGAAAGTGTGCAAAGTCAGTCAAATGAATCAAAATATATTGATGAATCAAGTGCTAGTTGTTCCGTGCAAAGACGATATCCGACTCGAATCAGAGTAGCACCAAAGAAACTGAACATTTAATTAAATATTCAAACACTGTAACAATCTACAGGAGTATTAAAAACAATTTTGTTTTAAATGTTTTCACTTCTTTATTAATCAAGTTTTTATTTACAGGTTAGCACTGAACAATAATTGTCTATACATGACAGGATAATTTTTTTAAGTTTAAACTAACATGGGAACAATAGAATGTGTTTATATTAGTTGAGTTATGAACTAAGAGGGAAGGATGTCATGTATTTTTTCACAATATATATATATATATATGCTGTTACGAACCATCCCACTCTATGACTATGTGTAACGAAACGTTTCAGTGGTATTGACCACTGTTACGTATTTTCTCACCTCTGTAACTTTTCAGTTCGTTTCTCCACTCAAAATATCACACTTTCGTTTATTTATGTCTACTATTTATTTATGTCTACTAAACCCCTGAAAGCCAAGACATATCACCTAGTACCGATACCTATACTTATATTAGAATGATTTAACTTTTGTTATCTGTGACCAAAACTGATCTTAGATGATTGGTGCGACTCAAAGATTGATCCAAACAGAAGCAAAGACACACCAGCATATTTCCCTGCAAATGTACAAGGCGTATACATAGATAACAAATATCTTTTCACATTATAGCACAGAATTAATCCATACGTGATTCAACCTAATGAAAAAATAGCCTACTTTTTCAGTTTTAGTCTTAAATATTAGAAGGCGTATAGACACATTTTGAAATCAACAGACTAATGATGAGACTGATAACCGCTAGTGTTATTAAGTTTATAGTTTAGAATTAATCAACAGACTAATTTTTGTGTAATCACGATGACACTGATAACCGCTAGTGTCATTAAGTTTATAGTTTAGAATTAATATATGTGTTGTTTATCAGATCTCGTAGTAAATCAACAACTGTTTGAGCACATCCCCAGTGTAATGTAACACCTGCTCCTCCATGACCATAATTATGTATAACCTGCGAATTACAAAATGTCAGAATTAAATATTCCGAATTGTTTCGATTCTATAGATAACTTTCGGTTAATAAATACATGTATTGGCGTCAACCACGTTCTGTAAAATCAGGGCCAGTTTTGGTATAGTTTCCTAAATTCCTACACATTAACGGATCAGCGATTTTGAATACTGGCCTCCACTCAGAAACAATAATCAACAATCCTTTTAGCAATTTAAACTTTAGAATTTGGTCTATAGCTGGAATTCGTTTAAAATTAATGGTTATGACATCTTCTTGTCTGTTATACTTTCGTTATTTCCGATATTAATAACAGCGAAGACAATATAAATAGTTCTTCTTACCCGACATTTAGTGTGTGCTGAGGGGGGTTCCAACTCCAACCTTACTCGACTTCTGCATGGGCGTAAACCAACCCAACTGTAATCTACAGTAGCCATCTTTGATATAAAAATAAAATAAAAATGTCGCATCTAATATTTAGCAACTATTATCAAGAATCCTAGAAGCACTCCAGTGTATAAGGATATTACGCCAAAGCCTTGACCTTTTCATAAGGTGCCACATTTTCATATCTATATTGAAAGCCTCTGATTGTCATTTGTGAAGAACTTGCCAACTACAATATAGTGAAATTTGAATGTCTAAAAGGAGCATTCGGTATACGGTGAATTGAAAAGAATATTCGTCCAAAAATAGTGATATTCCATTCAGCATTATATGAATTGATACTCTGTCAACCTTAGACATTCTCTGGATATGGTCAAAACCAGTCAGGGACACTTTTAAACTTAGCTAGAATGGTTTCATTGGCCTCCTCTTTTTAAACCAGTTGAATCTAAGCTGGGGGATGGTCTACCGATGATATTTTGATTTCTTTATTTAAATATAAATTATATCAGATATTGTCCGAGAAATGGAAACGACGATCAGCGACTTTGAAATATTTTTTCCACAAAATGGTTTTATATATACACCTACTTTTAAACTAGGATGTATTTGACAACATCTCTCAAACAAAGCTGCCCTGTCTTCGTGGTTAGGTTTTGTGTTCCAGTTACCCTTCTGAAATGTGGCTCCTAATACAACATTTTTAGACCTGAATAAGCAAAAAAGAGGGGTCTTCATTTTTACCAAACTAACCAACCTTTTAAAATTTTCATGGAAGGGGTGGTCGATTGTCAGTCTGGAACGTTCTGAAATAACAGAATTGCAATCGAGTGTTTGGCTCAATATAGCCCCGTTGGAGCTGACGTACCATAAAACTCCATTTCATATTGCAATCGAGTGACGCAGAATTCAATTCTGTCAAGTTCTGCCGGTCCCGACAACTGAGGTGGGGTGATTAGAATCTTGATATAATTAGAGGGACATAACTCCTGAAATCATACCCAAAGACCACCAGAAGTCAAAATACGTCTCTCTTTTTTTTTTTAATTAAACCAAACCAACAGTTAAAATGTCATAAAGATTTACTGATAATTGCGGTTTTTGGCGTCAAGGGTCATAACTCTGAAATTGATCCTCAGAAATCTTCGGATAATTGTGGTCACTGGGGACAACCCGAACAACCAACCCGTTCAAATTTGATAAAATTCCGTAGTGGTCAAGGTAGTGTCAGGAACAAAAAGAATGATATGTGTTGTAAAATTAGTATATTACCCTGGGAAGATGTAAGTAAACTCGTCACCAATATCTTGAACATAGAAATGTTTAATCCATGGGGCATGAACCTAAATTTCAAGAATAAACAAATGCACCGAATATCAATTATCAGTGTGGATAGATAGACAATTAAGAGCTTGTGAGTGTCGTAAGTTTCCCCATAGGGGGAAGCTCTTGCCAAACGCCCCGGTGTAATTAATGACCAACAACAGTGGTTTAAAACCTAATAAAGACAATTTATATTACTTATATACGTCCCAGTGTATGAACTACTTTGTAATTGTTTTTTAAACGTAAATATAGCTACATGCTAATATTCGGAAAATGTTGGGGAGAGTTTTACTGAATAACATCGAACATACCTTCAGGCGCGGATCGTACTAATTCATAACAAAAATTGACGTCAAACAGGATGTTGGATTTCTCTGTTTAAAAAGATCAATGTGTATGTATATACGCCAAAATGACGATAGAGACCATGTATTTCTCAAAAAATTTCAAGCCGATGGGGGCGGGGGGAATACATTTTCTCAGGAACCTGGCAAACCCCCTCCTGCAAAAATTCCTGGATCCGCCCCCGACCCTACTCAACACTTCTACCTTTACACAGCTAAAAATGAAAACTGATAATGTTACAAACACGGATTGTGTTTACTCGAATAGGGTAAAATAGATGCTACAAACCCGTATAGTCTCTCCCCTAGCAGGAAACAACTCTTTATCACCCAATAACTGATGTGAGTGTAGTCCAGAACAATTGATGATAATATCATACAATGGATATAACTATAATATATGAAGGACAAAAAGAAGACAAACGTAAATGATCGTATTGTCTAGAAGACGTTTTAACTTGTGGTCGCAAAAGCTTCCAAATCATTCTCATCTTGAGAAACATTATTCCGGTATGTTGGTTAGAAACAAAACATGACCGCCGAGAAATCGGAATCAGAATATTTAAAATCAAAACTTTTGAGTCGTTTGAAAATAATCGCCACAGTTGCACCAACAAGGTTTAAAAACTTTTGTCAAGACTTTTATTCAAACTGTAGGAGAGACTTTATAATCGCGACAATCGCCATGAAAACATGGACAGGAATATAGACAATGCTATGAGGAACTTACATAGTCTGAGATTTGGAAACTCGACTGTTTGTTCGGAAAGCTATAACATAGTTTTGAATAGTGGGACTTGGTTAAGGTTTCCAAGAGTCTTTCAGTCGAAATTAAGCAGTTATATTAACAAAACATATATCCGAGACTTGCTTTACTAACCTCGTCCAAAGACTGAATAGTCTTATTTATAATCTTCCCACCCTTGTTCATATACCTGAGGAAATAAAAAAATAAATTTTCGTTAGAACATTCAAAATATTACAGAAGCAATCCAGATGTTCAATTTTGTCATACTAGATACTTTCAGACACAGCGGATGATAACTATTAAATCTATTTCGCTGTTTACAATATACTACAATTTTATCAAGAGCAATATCAAAAGCACTATTTGCTGGGATCCTGCTTACACAAATAAACGCCTCTCTTAGGAGACTGACCAAACTCACCAGGACCAACAGGAGAGACGAAGTTATTTTACAGTTGTCATAAAATAAAATATCGTGATATTTGTTTTTAATTTGTATTAACTGTGATATTTGTTTTTTTGTGTATATATAATAATGGTAATACATTGTATTTAGTTTGACTCGAATAGTCCACCATATGATTCGGCAAAATAGTCCGGTTGGTGCTGACGTGCATTAAACCACATTTCATTCATTATCAATATAATTATCTATACTAATATTTGTGACTGTCGTTTGTCTGTCTGTTCGGGGTTGGCGGCTACACTAGGTCTGCCCCCAGTCTGAAATTTGGGGTATAGGGGTAGCTCGGACCGGGGAGTAACATAGGCCAGGTGGCGTTAGTCTACCACTTCCGGTTTCGGGGTTATGACCCCCGAGCGAAGCCGGGCATTTTTCTAGTTGGTATATAAAATCCAGCTTACTGTTTCATTAACCACGGTAGGTAAGAAGTGCAGTCAACTAAATATGATGTGAAAAACTTTCCCGACCTGTAAATAAAGAAAACAAATCATAAAATATATTTGGGTTTGTTACACTAAACAATGAACATTTGCAAAATGCACTGAATAAAATAATCCCCCAACTGTTTCTTTGTTGAAGTGCACTACTACATTCTCTGTTCTCCTTGAAATATGGTTTCTAGCATTATGCTCAGTTAACATCGTTTTTGCCAAAGTGTCTGGCAAGATGAAGGTCAAGTTAGGTGATTCTTACATAAAGTTATTATAGATGTTATTGTACCTTACTGTCGTGCAATCAATCATCGGCATGTGAAATAGCTGGTATTGACCACGCATAGCCCACGTTACAGGTGCCTGTGGTATTGACCGCTTGAATGGTGTCAACCGTATATTCGAATCTATTTGAGAATTTAAGTTCTATCCTTATGAGTTACATCTAGGCCGAAGGATCGAGGATCCATGTCCACGTTCGGATTGACAAGAATCTCTGGAAGTTTTGTGAAAACACCACTGTCCAGAAAACTTCTCCATCTTGCCTTAAATTGGAGTGCTTGGAAGAAACTGTCATTAAAGCACAACACGAAAGCTACTGCATTAGATGTACTCGTATATATTTGGGTTTGAAACTTCCTATAGGAAACACAGCATAATTTGAATGGGCAAAGAGCTCGCGTGAACTGAATAACGTGTACAAAGAAATATGTCATAAAAATGTTAATATAGCTCAACATAAAAAAATAAAATGAAACGTAATCAGAATGGAAAGCTATCTAGACCTACTTAGCCCTCGGAAACAATAATTGCATCTCTTCTGAAGTCAATCTTCTGCTAGTATTTTCTTCATCCGGGCTTGTTTCCTGGAATGAAAATTAGTTGTCAATCTTATACGCCCACCCGCCGTGTGATCAATGGATAAAGTTGATCTATATGTTGTGCTAGCTGAACGTTTCAGTGACTTCTTTCAAGGCAAAGTCAGTGATATCAGACGTTGAGAGAATACTCTTCGAAACGTCGCCCAAATAAATCAGTAATTGTTCTTCCATAAGTATGTGTTATAGTTTATTGCTCTATCCAGTTACTAAATGCCTCTAAAAGATCATCAGACGTACTCTTGACAATACTAGCAGTGGATTGAGGGCGTTTGAAGAACACCGTGTACCAAGCCATTTTTTGAGTTTGCCCCAGTTAAAGATGAACATGCCCGGTCCATCATTGATAAGAGCAAGTCAACTTCATGTAGCCTAGATCCCCTTCGAACATGGCTTCTGAAGTCTAAACCAGTATTAGATGCGCTCCTTCCTTTCATCACTGCTATCATACATTCTTCAATTGCCAACAGCTGTTAGCCGACTTCATTGAAGACTGCCCTTGTGATTCCACTTCTGAAGAAATCATCGCTTAATTGCGAGATCCTTAAGAACTACCACCCTGTCTCAAATCTTTAGTGTAACGGAAAGGTGCTTGAATTAACAAATTATGTAAAAAAAAAAAACGCTTGGGAGTCGTTCTCTGTTTTTGGCCTCCTCTATTTGCCTCGTGTAGACTGGGCTTTAGTTGACCCAAAAGTTTCTCGGGCAAATTTTGAGATTAGGTGTGAATAAACTATTATTACTATTATTATTTATGTACATATATTACCGTCGCTTAAAATAAAACAAATAATATTACCGAAGTCATCGGCGGGTCGCCTGTGACCCAATATCCTGATACATGTTGAACTCTAGCACTGTCTGCTTCAACGGAAAATGCCACATTTTTCAAATGATCCCAGGTTTCTTTGGCCCATTTTCTGGAAAGAAGGGAAATGACTTATTGTATTTGCGTAAGGAATGATTTTAATACATATTTTGAAGAATCAAAACATATTATACCTTCATGGCAAACTGAATGCCTTGACTACATATATATTTGTTTATATATACAGCTGAAATATCTGGCAATATCCATTTAATATGAGGCCTAAATTGTATTTATGCTTATACAACTAACGTGGAAAGAGTAAGCTACAAAAGGGGTTTTGTGCCCACATGGAATCTTATACATCATCCACAATCAGCCCACTATGTCCCTGAGCAGTTTGAACTCGGATTTATTTTGTGTCATGGCTGTTAATTTATCTTTTACTGATCATTTTACATTATGTACCCACATATTACTACTGCTTATCCAAGTCACTACCTTAACATAATGCCTATAGACCCGTTTCCTGAGCTACGCCCAGTTGTTTATTTCAAACATAATATGTATGTATGTATCTAGTTCAACCAAGGTATTCATGCGTGATCTTTTATACACTGTTTACAACATTTCATCGACCTGTTACTTTATATATTTATATATATATATGTGTATATCCTTTTAATGGTACAGTTATTTTCATTTGAGCAGCTGTTACATTTTAAACATAATTTGCTTAAATCATGACACGATTGCCACGACTGACCTCAATATATGATAAGACCTGATAAGATCACCACGATTACTCCACGATTAAAACCACGATTTCAATAGTATGCACGAATCGTGATAGTGGGAATTTACCACAAGTTGTCCAATGCAGTTGTCAGCTACACTAATCATGAAACATGTCAAAAAGCAGATCATAATTAAAGGTGCTAACAAGATTTCGTGGCCAAGGAAACTAACCTTAGAAGTTATTATCGAAAAAGCCCCCCCCCCCCTTCAATAGGATAGATATGCATTTAAATTTTGGCCTTATAAAAAGATGTATGGAATGTACAACATCTAGGGGTGTAACAATGGATGTTATCGAAAATCAACAAAAAATTTTAAAAATCATGAGTGAATCTTTGCTTTTAACTTAAACAAGATAGTCACGTGATTTTTTAGTTTGAATTTGAATAGAAAACATCACCATAAGGTTTCAGTTAATATAACGGAGCGATCAACAAGGGTTTATTTTGTGGGCGAAGTGGTCGATTTAGTTGACATGATTGAATACGTTCCGTGAGATAAGATGAAAAGAGACTTATAAATTAATTTCAAAATCTTGAACTGTATCCAGTCTTCTATGGATAACCGATGTAATAATTTTAAGATGAATAGGGTGAGATTGCTTTTGTTGTTATTATTCTTGCAGCGGTGTTGTGAAATGCCGTCTTGTCATTATACAACGTAAGCGTATTCGCGTACATCCATGATTTTATTGATCTAGCGTTGAAAAGCCCCCGTTCGCCTGTAAGCTAGTTTATTGCATACACAGGCGACACGAAAATAATATTCTCATCAAGTATTCGAATCTAAGAGCTACTTGTAAAATAAATCTTTTTATTTCTAAATCAAACCAGTACTTACTGGACTAGCTCTAATGGAGTATCTCCGACTGCGAACACTTCAAATAAAGCACCTGCACCGTCCGAAGTAGTGTTGGGAGAAAATTTATCAGCTATAATTGTGATGTCAATTTTTGGGTATCTGTCTTGAATCCTGATAGCAGAAGATAATCCTATAATTCCGGCTCCAACAACACAAATCTTCTTCATGGTGAGAAGTATTATAACATTCTTGTTTTATTGTAAAACTATTAGGTCACCACGCTTGAGTTGAAAACCAACAAGGTAAATATTAACGAATATTTATGCAGGCGTTACCACGCGGGGAAGCATGTTTCGGTCAACAAAATCTACAATGATACACGCTTCGCATCGGTGAACAGATATTTCTTGATAAACAAAAATCAACTAAAAAGATATTCTGTGGGCATATTACACAACCGTGGAAACGTTTGCACATCACATACTAATACTACTTAATATGCGGACACTCATAAAGCCTATATTTATAAAAAAAAAACAGGCACGTTGGACCATATCGAGGGGTGCCGATTGGCCATATTTCGCATATTGGAGGACTGTCCTCCTATCCCTGGACATCCTCCACCCTACGCAGCCTACCCAGCCCTACCTCGGTGTATGGGAAAACATAGCGACATATGGCGGGTTTACCCTAGCCTGCCCTCCAAACACCCCTATGCATCGCTAACCAGGAGGTCCCGGACTGGTTCACAATGTAGAGTGTGAAAGTTAAGGGTGCAGACAAGTAGGGCGTTAATCCTAATTCATTTCAAAAGATGGAGATAGGATATTAAGTTAAGAATATCAAGACACAACACTTGGTTCTCGGTTCGGTCGCTTGTTCGTTCCATGGTCCTCGAGTTAGATGGAAGGTTGGAGCCCTGTAAATCCGGTAGTCCGATTGCCTCTTAGTTTGACAGTCAGTTATTTGGCGGTTTCTTTAATCCTTGTTTTATAAGTAGTTAACGGTCCCGGAATTCTGTCAACCATTTATTCATATTGTCCCGCAATACGACAAAGGCGTTGGATGGCCGAATGGTTAGCACGTGTGCGCTGTATCATAAGGTCTGTCATTGAGCCAACTGACGTGGTTTCGATTCCCCTGTTGTACGTGACAAGGGGTAGGGTCGCCTGTCCAACCTCGTGGATTTTCCCCGGGTCCTCCGGTTTCATCCCACTGCTAAAAACCCCTACGCGCAAGCGAATTATTGAAATAAAATTGAACCATGTGTTAGTCCCGAAATTACCTAGTTTGTGTCGAGAGGACGTTAAACCCCCATCTCTCTCTCCCTCTCTCTCTCTCTCTCAATACGACAGTCCGTTACCACGTCATGTTAACGAAACGTAGATCTTATAACCCGTTATTCCAGTATGACAATCTGTTAATCCTACCACCCCTTAGTTCTGTTGATTACTAACAACCTGTCAGTCTGTCTGCGCCCCAGTAGTTCGCTGGAGTCCGCCTGTGGTTGATAGGACGGGCGGGTACTAGCCCAAGACGACCAGCGCTTCCCCGGGCGCGGATCTTTCCTTACGGAGGTGAGTTCTCGAGCCTTCCTTTTTAAATGTCTTCTAGCACGCGCAGTCCTAGATGCAGGAAAGTGAAGTAGTGCCAACGATCTAGTGAATTGCAACTAGTTATTTGTTTAGAATAATAATAGATATGTATCTATTGTGTTGTACTGTCACATTATGCATACACCATTTCGAAATTTACAAAAATCCGATGAGATAAAATAAAATAAAATGGGTTTTAACGCTCTACTTTTCTACACCAATTGGGCTAATAAAGACAAACATACGCAGTGTAGTGTGGTATGGGGGTAATTTTGTCCGGACTTCAGGTCTTCCACCTACTCTTTATCCAACTGTAAAGGTTTGTTTTACGTGCACAACAATGTGTAAATGGATGGACCTCGGTTTTTGTCTAGATATCTCGTATCTAGTAAATTTAATACAACATTTTTGTCAATATAGGACATACAATCTGTTATACGCTGTTTTATTAATCTGGGGTGTATTATTTTGTGTTAAAGTCATGATACATCATTCATTGTTAAATTTATTAATCTTGGTACATTATCATGGTACATTATACTGTGTTAACTTCATTAATCATGGTACATTATACTGTGTTAACTTCATTAATCATGGTATATTATACTGTGTTAACTTCATTAATCATGGTATATTATACTGTGTTAAATTCGGGGTACATTATTCTGTGTTAAATTCATTGTCATGGAAAATTATTAATGGTTCAATTCAGGGTACATTATTCATTGATGAATTCATTAATCATGGTAAATTATTCGTAGTTCAATACGAGGTACATTATTCATTGTTAAATCGTTAATCGTGGTACATTACACCGTGTTAAATTCGTTAATCAAGGTACAATATTCTATGCCAAATTTGAAATGAAACACATCGTCAAACACGTAGACAGTCGGTGGTATGAAATACAGTTGTAGCTATTTAAACGGCTATGTAGCCCTACAAAACAAAAATAGGAAGAAGACGATGGTCATAATCCGGGTGCACATGTAGCATCTCCAGATTGCCCAGCTGATTTCTTTATAGTTTAGATTGTAATGTAAAATTGTTTGTCACATCTTGTATTAAATCAACAACTGTTTGAGCACACCCCCAGTGTAATGTAATACCTGCTCCGCCATGACCATAGTTATGTATAACCTGTAAAATAGAGCAATATAACACTTTAAATATCTTCCGACGAGGCTTGTGGGTGGGTGTCTTATATACATATTTATATATTCATCATCATATATATATATATATACGAGTTTCCATATTTAACAAGGGACATAACTGAGCTAGTAACTATCAGAAACCCCGAAGCTAGTAATTATCAAATATCCCCGAAAATCTCTAAGCTAGTATCAAATACCCCGGAAAAGTCCTTAACGCCTTTGTATCACGACGGCTAATAACAAATGCTACGGCTCCATATATTCACATTTCAATAAGATATTACCACAATAACTCATTTAAACACTGCTCAAACGGGTTAACTCCTCAATTTAACCATAGAACTAAATACACTGGAACGCCAACGAGCGTCTATACCGGTAAAATTTGTGGCTGCGCGATGTTCTTCGTGAAAGTGCACGGTTTACTTCCGGTATCTTGTTATTATCACGTAATTTTTGTTAGCCTGATAATGTTGAAAGCAAGCGAGTGAATTGGATTAAATATTTTTTCCTTTGTGCCTCCTTCAAACAAATGTTGTGATCTTCGTTCAATCATTTATTATATAAAAAAAATAATGCAACAGGGAGAGTTGTAAAATGACGCAAGAAGCGACGACTGGTTGCCAGCACTGCCAATACAGTCAGTAGCCTACGTAAACTACGCTCTGTCTTTATAAACAGGTATGTTGAAAATTCATTAGGACTATAATTCATACAATCAAGTCATCGTTTATTTGAGGAAACAAATGATGCGATTGACAAAATAATAATGTAATGACTCGTTTAATTTAAGCCGGGGGCGGAATTACGTACCAATAGCCACTATAGGCCTATTTCGCTAAACAATGTCACGAATGTGAATGAATTTCAAAAAGTTGTTCAAGTAATATACTTCAGTGAGCACAACTATACTTCTAATTTTAAAATGTTGGGGAACTAATAAAATAAAAATAATGAATACTGGTATTTTGTTTTTAAAATTAAATTATTTGATCTAATTAAGTGGAATTTTCCTTTTGAATATTATTTCTTTGTGAGAAAGTTCACATGGTAATCACGAAGAAAAGGATATCAGATTTGTGTCATTGATTGAAGGAGTGGATTTATATATAAATTAAGTCCTCGTTTGAGTAAAATTAAAAGAGCTATCAAGTGAATAATGTTGGTTGAAGAAACTCTTTCTTGTGCCAATTCCCTTGGCATTACCTGAACTCGGTCATACTTTATTGGTATTGAGTCTGATTTGAATATAAACCCACCTGTAAAGTCATAGTCTGTAAAATCTGACGTCAACTGCCTTTTTAATTTATGCATAAATTATATTATTATAACTAAAACTGCATTTCTCTTTATTCAACTGTAAAAATTATTTGTAGACACAGAAATCCCTGAAGAAACTCTATTTTATTGTTCAGACCAATAATACAAAAGCCATTGTATTTAATTCTGTGAAGAACTTTCATTTGATGTGCACAAGGAATTTCTAACATGAAAGAAGGACAATAAAATATAATGTCTAAATAACCACCAACACTGAGTGTTGACTCATCCCTAAATCCTAACTTTAAAACAGTTGTTGCACTGAATGAAAAGCAGGCTTTTATGCGAGTGCCTGAAAGACTTTGAAATATATTTCTTGTGAAGAATTGGAATACACTTACATGTACATGTATCAACTGTACATTATACACTTTCAGTTACACATTTCTATTTTTTGGAAATAATTTCAATAAATATAATGGATGAAATCATTGGATTATTGTGAATTATTTCTATAACTGAATATTTTGAAAATGTTCTAGGGATAGAGACTATCTAGTCCACTCAATGAAATTATGAATTCTCCTCAATTTATGTAGTCAATTTCTATTCAATTCATAAGATATGCAGCTCTTGTGTGTACTGGTACAGGTGTATTCAGTAAACTGTAAAATTTACCCACTCCCTCCACTATGATTGCATAAAACCATTTATTGTAACTTTTACACACAGATCACAATTTACAATAGCGTGAATGAAAATATGTCTTACATTGTTTCAGGCATAAATCTGGTAACGTTTCTCACACTGATCAAATGTGTGAAACATTTCTTGTCATAAATTTATACAAATTTAAGGTTAAATGTGAATGCAACTATGGTATATTTTCTTGGGCAAATTTTCGAGATCCCAAAAACATTAGCTTCACACAGTGTCACTTAACTGTAAGGATAGTTCAGAATAGTAATGTCTTTGGATTTTGTGGGTCTCTATATTGCAAATACACATTTCCATTTAAAAAAAAAATAATTATTTCATTCTGATTCACAGTACTTGGTGCCAATCCAAACTTAGTCTTGATATTTAATGCACTCCTAAATGCTTCCATAGTACAGTATATGCAATGCTACCTGAAATGTAAAAATTTGAAATGAAATTCCTAGCCGCACCACTGACAAAAAGGGAAAACAGGCAATTTTCTCAACAAACATGTGAATCAAAATCAAAATCTCCTTGATAGTGAACAAACGCCTCCCTCCCTGTAAATGTCAATTAATTTAACACATGACTTTTTAAGAGTTGGTAGTATTTTAATTTTACAAATCTTTATAACATGTTCAGAGAATTCTGCCTGCATATTTGGACTTTTTTTGACAGCTGATCACTGTTTTAGAAGTAGGTAGGCCTATATAAAAATGAGGCCTAGTAGGCCTATATTATTTCAATTTTGGAAATCTTCACAAAATGCAGTGAAATATTCTGCCTGCTTATCATGCCTTTATTTTGACAGCTGATCACCTTTTTTTTTTTTAGAAATATGTAGGCCTATATTACAAGGCCTAGTATTATTTCAATTTTACAAATCTTCATAAAATGCTCAGAGAATTCTGCCAGCATATTGTGACTTTTTTTTGACAGCTTATGACTGTTTTTAGAAACAGACAGGGCTATATAATGAGGCCTAGTAGGTCTATATTATTTTAACTTTACAAATCTTCACAAAATGCAGTGACATATTCTGCCTGCATATCGCAATTTTTTTTATTTTTTTTTTGACAGCTGATCACCCTTTTATTATTTTACTTTTACAAATCTTCATAAAAATGCCCCGAGAATTCTGCCTGCATATTGTGACTTTTTTTGACAGCTAATTACTGTATTTAGAAATAGACAGGGCTATATAATGAGGCCTAGTAGGTCTATATTATTTTAAATTTAAAAATCTTCACAAAATGCAGTGAAATATTCTGCCTGCTTATCATGACTTTTTTTTTGACAGCTGATCACCTTTTTTTTTTTAGAAATATGTAGGCCTATATTACAAGGCCTAGTATTATTTTAACTTGACAAATCTTCACAAAATGCAGTGAAATATTCTGCCTGCTTATCACGATTTTTTTTTTTTTTGACAGCTGATCACCTTTTTTTTTAGAAATATGTAGGCCTATATTACAAGGCCTAGTATTATTTTAATTTTACAAATCTTCATAAAAATGCCCCGAGAATTCTGCCTGCATATTGTGTCTTTTTTTGACTGCTGATCACTGTTTTTAGAAATAGGTAGGCCTATCACAAATTACCTACTTATCAAATCAGATTACCTTCCACGTGTGCTACGGCCGTTTTTGGCCAATCCTCTCTGCGTTAAAAACTTGAATATTTCCCCATCAATCTGCTAAAATAAAACACATGCGTGACATGGTTAAGTTTTTAACTGGTCGAAAAGGTTTTTTTTTATCATTTTAAAAGACACAGTATACTGTATATTATGTTGACATTATCGATACTTGGGATTATAACACATATTCTAATATAATTCTTATAGCCATCAAGCCATTGAAATTTGAATTTCACTAAGCATCAAATATGCAGGCAGAGAAATAATGTCCTGGTAATGGGGTTTGATTAAAAATTGTTTGTAATTGTAAACAAATCTAACTCGGGCCGCTACCTAAGCAATAGCATAGCAAAGGGCTAAAACTGTGAAACCAAAGTTACCAAGGCTTACTATTTCGAGATTAATAGTATGAAATATTTTATTGGAATAAATGTTTAAGTAATTGATTTACATACCTTGATAAAAAAAAATTTCTGTTATTTTCTTTTAAAAACGAAAGTAATTGGTGCCGCGAACGCTTCATTGAATTGACAATCACATTGATGATTGATTTGTACTTGTTGTAGGCCTACACTCAGTCTCAAATCAAAATTAATGCATTGCGAAGGATCGTATTTTCCGTCCATATAGTCCAAGAATAGCTTTCACGGGTGTAAATACACAAGAACTAACAAGTAACCGGGTCAAAAATAATAATTATATTTTCAAAAATTTCATTCAATACAAGACGTCTAAAATGACATCAATAAATACGTCGAAATCCATGTGTTATTTGGCCTACCGGAAGTAAACATGGCACTTTCATCTTCGCGCATGTGAGGACGAGCATAATTCGCTCTAAATGGCTAGTTGGCGTTCCAGTGTATTTAGTTCTATGATTTAACTAACTGATTAACACTAAACCAAAGCAAAGAAATTAAACAGCCATTCTGTATTTTATGCTCAACATTTCTTCCACTTTGAACTGTACTTACCCGACACTTGGTTCGCACCGAGGGGGGTTCCAACTCTACTCTCATAACATCTAACACTGGGCGTAATCCAACCTTAACATGCTCCGCAGTTACTGCCTAAACAAATAAAAACATTAATCCACAAAACAAAAGAAAAGAAAGGAGTTCAGCCATTTTGAGATCTAGTTGTTGTTTTTATTTGATGTCACTACGTGTGCCAAGATACTAGAGATAACAATCTTGCCCAGATAACGGTGTATCCAGGCCTGTAACTAGGGGGCGCGGGGGGGGGGGGGGCCCTTGCAAAAAGTTTAGCCCCCCCCCCCCCGTGTGAAAAAATTGTCAACCATAAAGACAATAGATATACATTGTCCGTCAATTTTACAGGACCCCTGAGAACCCCCCCCCCCCCCCGTTGCTCTGAGCTAGTTACGCCCCTGGGTGTATCCCCCTACTCTATATAGAATTCCAACTGTCGGGGATTCTTTTACAATTATGCTACTGTGTTGGGCATCGTTTCACCGTGTCATCCGAATAACTAGAGCTATACCTTTGACAAACTGGACACGGGTTTGGCAATGTCCGAGGTTCTACTCGACCCAAGCCTGGATTTGAACTCTGGAAATTTTTAACCGAGAATCAAGTGCCATAACTGCTCGAAATGGACAATAGAATAAAGTTAGAAAAGGAAAAGCAAATACAAGTAGCTATGTACACACCTTTAAACTTGGCATGATTTCACAACATCTCTTCATCAGTTCAAATTGATCTTCCTGGTTGCATTCATCATTCCAGTTATCCTTTTGAAAAGTTCCTCCTAAAATAACACCTTCTGATCTGGAATAAAGAATTAAACAATAACTACATGTACAATGATTCCAAACCGACAAACAAAATAACAGTGTACTGACTCTAAATTGGATTGGATATGTTCAGGTGAGGTTTATCCGAGAGTGCTCTAGCCTACATCTTCAATAGAAGGCTTGATCTCGCTTTAACTACGTACATCTTATCAAGATCTTCAAGGCTTGATCTCACTTTAACTACGTACATCATATCAATTCCCTCACGTAATACCCTGTATATTTCGGTAATAATTTCGATTGGGTACAAGCCCAAATTGTGAGCCTAGATTCCTCAATCATCGCGAATACCAAGTTTCGCGCTTTCAAGCTAAAATATCTACCTGTGATAATCGAGTTGCAAAGTTCAAGTTTCATTCAATGTCAAGGTTTCCGTGGAGGTCGCGATGTCACAACCTCTGATTGGACGCTACTGCTCACGTATCTGTAGATAAAATAGCTATAAGTTCAGGAATTGTGAAGTAAACAAGCAATGGCCAGATGTTGTGAAACTCGCAGTCGTTGCTTCAGGGACATGACTAGCCTACGGATACAAACGGTTCTGTACTAACGTCCAAACGAAATTTCACCAAGAAACTTAAACAATTACAAGTATTCAAACCCTTAGTAATGGGACTGAAACCTTGGTTAAATATTTCACCTATATATAACCAATGTAATCTATGACTTAAAGCCTGTTCCAGCTTGAATTTCTAAATATATCTTTCTACACGCAAGGGGTTATTCCATAGTTTCTCGAAGTCTTCGGAAAGTTTCATGTAAACGTAGGAGACTGTTGGATGTGTAGTTACGTGGGCCATGCAGTTATTGCGAATATGATAGGCATATAAATACGCCATTGTCTCACTCGGCTAAACTACTCACAAGTTATTACATCCATCTTAAAACTCACAAAGTTTCAAATATGAATAGAATCGAAATAACATTTTGAAAATTATCATGAAATACTAAAGAACTACAATTAACCACTACCTCATGCCAACTGTTCACATTTTACACTAGTTACCCTTCTATACGATCCGTCGCATTATCAAATGTTCGAGGCTTAAACATGTACACAATTACAATACGATGTGAGCTAGCGTAATAAATGGGGCGTGGTAACGACAAGGATGAAATTACCCTGGTAAAATATAAGTCATCTCGCCATCGATCTTCTGATGGTAAAAGTGTTTAATCCAAGGAGCGTGAACCTGAAATTAAAGTAAATCAAAATATTATACAATCACTTGATGTATAAACTCGTCTAGGGAATTTTATTTCAGTCTATTCTACTCTCTTAGCCAATTTGTTTACAGATCATACTTTTGTCTGTGTTTTTGTATCACCAATAAGATCATAATAATATTATTTATTCAGAATTTATTTATTTATTTTCGTAATTAAAGATCAAGGGCACCAATCATAAAAAAGTACTTTACATTTAGAAAGACATGCCAGAAGCAGCTCTCTCTCGTTAGAATCAGCAAAGGAGCTTCGACTGTAAACAAACTCTTGTTTGATTTCCACACCTAGGCGTTTATTTTAAGAAATACCAAAAATAAACTTGAATCACATAGCTCGGCCGACATATTAAGAGAGAGAAATGGGGTTTAACGTCCACTCGACACAAACTAGGTCATTTCGGGACTAACATATGGTTTAATTTTATTTACATAATTCGCTTGCACGTAGGGGTCTTTAGCAGTGGGAAGAAAACGGAGGACCCGGAGAAAGCCCACGAGGTTGGACAGGCGACCCTACTCCTTGTCACGTACAACCGAGGATTCGAAACCACGCCAGTCGACTTGACTAAAATTTCTTGACTAAATTAATTCATTTATTAACAAACCTTGACAGCTTGTCCTCGGTGCGGTACGAGATTGGTATCATGTACCAATTGATATGACCCTAATCCAGAACAGTTGACGATCATATCATAGTGTGGGTATAACTGAAATATTAAGAAGAGCCTGAGTGATGGTAATTAACCACAATTTTATGTGATAACATAAATAACAACCACAAAGCAACAGTTCTTCCAAATTTTGTTTAATTTAGTAATATAGTTTAGAGAGGGGGGGGGGATAACATGTTTACTAAACTTATTAATTTGTGCTTTTAAAACACGCCCATCTCATTTGAATAAGCACTATTCCATTAAGCAACATATCAAAGCTGGTTATAATCACAGGAGCGGTTTCGGGGGCAAAGTCTAAATGTTGGAAATGTTTATATCTGTCCCTCTTCTATAATCCTGCAAAATCTAAACAAACAACAGATCAACAATATACTTGCTATATTTTGTTTTTAAATTCGCCAAGGGAATCTGCGAAATTGTCTAAATATTTCTAGGCCAAGTAACTTTATTTAATGAAATAAATCAACACTTACTTCCTCCAATGATTTTACTGTCTTATGAACAACTTTTCCACCTCGGCCAGTAAATCTGTGGTAGAAATAGACGAATCATATAACACCTATCATTTCAACTAAAATTTAACTATTGATGGTTTTGTACAAGATCATTAATTGCTGCTAAAAATCCAAACATAGAAAGGGGCTTGTCAGGTGACCTAATACACCCAAAATCACCATCACCAAAGTCGTCTAAAATCATTGTCAACAGATCCCACAGGACAAGCTTTTAAAAGAAAACCAAAACACCATAACCTCCTGGGGGGGGGGGGGGGGACCTAGTTGCCTAGAGTGCCGCGCTTCGATCTCTAGCTGGCCGGTCACCTCTGACTTGCGGTTGTGGTTTTGATCCTGGTGTGAGCGTATGTGGCTTGAAGATAGGGGCACCTTCTCAACCTCGTGGGTTTACTCCGGGTACTCTGGTTTCCTCCCAATTCATTTCAATTCATTTCCCTATATATGACAACTTCACAAATTAACATCACATAATCAATCGGCATGCACCGATATAGGTCCGGAGCATTTGGGGCCACATTAGCTGTTTGCTTCTCCGCGTATAGTATAGAATAAGCACAAAATGCACTGCATAGTTTTAGGTTATATTGTATTATTTTCAATACACTTTGCGCTACACCTTATTTGTTTTACCTTTTCATTAACCATGGTAAGTAGATTGTAGGTTCCACAAAATATGACGTAAAGAACTGGCCCCAACTGCAAGATTTAAAGAAAAGAAAACATATTGAGATCCATGCATTGATCAGATCATGTGAAGAATCATGGTAACGTTATGCTCGTGGATTATAGTTCTCGCAATGTTTCGTTTGATTAAGGAGTCAAAGAATTACGAAAGAGGATGCTTCTCATCCACCCTTTTGTCTCTTGAAATCGGGGAAATGTTAGAGAATAGCCCAGTTATTAAAGATTGAAAAATAAAAAGTATTTTATTATACTAATGAATGGAAAAGGACCCTGTTGGCAATAGGGGGTTGGAATGCCGAATGGTTAGCACGTGCGTGCTGCGCTGTATCATACGGTCTGTCATTGAGTCAACTGGCGGGGTTTCGCTTCCCCGGTTGTACGTGACAAGGAGTAGGGTCGCCTGTCCAACCTCGTGGGTTTTCTCCGGGTCCTCCGGTTTTCTCTCACTGCTAAAGACCCCTACGCGCAAGCGAAATATTGAAATAAAATTGAACCATGTGTTAGTCTCGAAATGACCTAGTTTGTGTTTGTGTGTGTGTGTGTCTCTCTCTCTCCCTCCGTCTCTCTCTCCCTCTCTCTCTGTTGGCAATAATATAAGCTCCACTAAATAGACTAAACATGTAGAATTTTGTGTTGTCCACTTCATAAATACTCCTTGGATGATGTCATCAGAATTTCTCAAAGGGGCATTATGTAAGACCTGGATAAAGAGCTGACAGTTCCCGCTATAATGTAGTCTCGATTATCATTGCTATATACCGTTGTTAGGATAATAAACAAAGTCTCGATGGTCCATTTTTAATTTAAATTATTAACTGTAATTCGTATTTAAATCTGTTAAAAATCCAATGGCATCGAGGGTTGATTATGGCCTTGGTAATTTAATAAATGTCTAACAATTAATAAGTCCCGAAGAAACCTGCAATAGGCAGATTCAGCTCTAGAATAATGCCCCTATAAGGCAGGAATTTGTACTAAAATTATTTGATTCAAAAAATTAATTAATGAATATTCGATATATTGCTCAGGCCCAGTGCCACATTATAAATTGAGTTTTGACCTCTTCGTTACCCGATTGGGGTAAAGAAATATGTAAATTTATAATTCTGGATATTTGTTTGAAATATGAAGTGCCGTCATTTACAGCTTAAAGATCACCCGTGAAAGCCGTCCAAGCTTCAAACCGGGTTTAGTTACATTTATTTTCTTGTTAACAGTGATAATGCCTCTTTAAATAACGTGTAATGCGTACAAAATGTGCTCTGGACATTACATTGTGTAAGTAATGGTACGGGGCTATAGGCGTAACGTTATTGGGGACCAAATTAACAATTCAAATTCGTAATGCCACTGCCAATGATACTTTTAAAGGACAATATTGGTGTCAGTCATTATAAAATATGTGATAGAGCTCGTTAAATACATCCCAAATATAATTTTAACACAGAGATCATTGCTACGATAGCTGAGTAACAAGCACGTGAAGAAACGGGAAGTGACGTCAAACATGACAAACACGAGTTGTCCTTCTATATAACAGACTGAAGTAACGAGCGGTAACAGACAAACGATCGAATTTCATTTCACTGATAATTCAGTTGAAGATGACAAGTTGTTATATGAGACGACGGGAGGATATCTGACAATTCAAAAAAAGAATTGGCTGTCAGTAGATAAAAGATAACGAACAAATTAGAAAAAGTCCGTGCATTACCATGGTTTTTTTTTTACTAAGAACAGAATGCACGGGATTCTTTTTATTTTTCTCGTGTCCTTTATCTAGTGACAGCCAATTCTATTTTTGAATTGTGAGATACCCTCTCACCGTCCCATATAATAACTTTTCAACTTCAACGGAATTATCAGTGAAATGAAATTCGATCGTTTGTCTGTTACCGCTCGTTACTTCAGTCTGTTATATAGAAGGACAACTCGTGTTTGTCATGTTTGACGTCACTTCCCGTTTCTTCTCGTGCTTGTTACTCAGCTATCGTAGCAATGATCTATGTGTTAAAATTATATTTGGGATGTATTTAACGAGCTCTATCATATATTTTATAATGACTGACACCAATATTGTCCTTTAACCCCTACTAAAGAACTATTGGTTTTATCCAATGATCCTTTTAATAGGTAGAGTAATTTTATCTGATTAGCAATTTTCTTATCAAGTATGCTCTTTGTTATCCCGTTTTATTATTGTCTCGTATTCTATTATATGTATTTGCAGTTATGAGGCAGGTTTTCTCTAAAGAAGTGTGTTATATAGTAATAATGGTCATCGCATTCTACAGTATAATAAGAAATCCAGATCTACCTGGCCTTGGGAAACAACTGAAGCTCTTCTTTTGTTAATCGTCTACTTGGCAATCTATTACCGATTCCCTAAAATAATAATATACGTAAAATACAACCTCGAAACGAAGCAAAACAAAATTACATACTAACACTTATTTAGAAAACGGTAAATAATTATTACCCCCTGTTGCTGCAACAGTTGGAATTCGATATAAGAGTAGGCCGTAGCGCCGCTGCCCGGGCAAAATTTCTCTCATAGCACACTGTATGGCGTATGCCCGTCTTCATTAGCCCAGTTTACGAGCAGTAGGACGTGAAACCCCATTTCATTTCATTTCATTTCCAGAAACCTACTATCCTGGCATTGTATTTTCTATTAGATAACTTAGCGATGATTCTTAGGAATAGAGTTATAGACCAGATATGACTGACATTTCTCGATGGTCTGTTTTGTTTTAGGGATAAACAAACTCTGTGAAATACAAATTAATGAAAGACGTTGGAAAACAAACCAAATTTTATTTTTATATTTGTGTTAAATAAGCTAGTAGTTACAATTGATGTGGATGAATACAAATATCAAACCTGTTCCCGTCCATTACCAACCCAATATCCAGATATATGTTGGATTTTATGGGCAGCAGCTTCGGGAGACAAAGCCATAGATTTTAAATGGCGTAGGGTTTCTGCAGACCATTTCCTAAAAAAAAAATGTGAAAACAAAAGGTCGATCAGATCCAGATAACGGGACTGATACAGTTTCTACAAGCCTTCAACATAAATAAAATCTTTGGAAGGGCCTCTTTTTAATCCAAAAGAATCCAATCCGTGAGATGAATTACCGTTGAAATTTTGATTTTGCCTTTTTAAACATGCATTATACAAGAGCTAAATTTGCCTATCTAAATTATTAATTAGACATTAATTCATTTATCCAAAAAATAATCAACTCTCCATGCCATCGTTAGCCTGTAGTATTTAATGGATTTGAATACATTTTGTGATGAATAATTTAACGTAAAACTGGATAACCGAGACTTTGTTTATTATAATATCTACATAAGTAATGATGATCGAGGCTAGCCATAAATTGTCTACGCTAATATCTCGGTTCAGAGTGAAGCAATTTGACTGACATTTTCATTTTTAACTTTTATAGCGAGAACTGTCAGTTCTTTATCTAATCTTACATATTTAATCAAATGTTAAATATTGAAGTCGTGAAAAATTAGATTTGTCCGAAAATGCAAATAACTACCAGTGGCTTTAAATTAACATTTATACTTACTCGAGTAAATGACTTGGTGTATTGCCCGCTTTATACTCAGCAAACACTGCTTCTGAAGTATCTGACAGGGTGTTTGGTGAAAACTTATCAGCTATAACTGTGATGTCAGCACTTTGGTATCTATCTTGAATTCTAACGGCAGAAGATAAACCAATAATTCCAGCTCCGATAACACAAATCTTCATCGTTATTTTCTGCAGTTATATTAATTTTATTTTTCTAATTTAGATTTCTACATACAGAAATCTAGCAAGCGAAACAATACCGGGAAATCCATGTCGGAATTTTACTCCTGAAGGAGTTAGAATTACTAGCATCTATTTATTTTAAGTTTATCTTCTATGCATTTCATTCACAGGAAAGGCCCACAGGGCTAACGCTTAATCCTAATTACATTTTATTTTTTTTAAAAAAAGCTTTGTTTACCTTATTATCAAAAATGGTCAATTTTGCCTGATGGCTAACCCTACACTCATTTGTGTTGCCTATGAATCAATAGGGTGTGCTCTGGGCCGTTTCAGATAAGTTGCTATGGGGCTTATAATATATATGATTTCATACCGACACTCGATCCATTTGCAGTTTCTTAAAAAAAACTTCCCAACAATTAGGCAAATAATCTTGCAGAATTAGATAAAAGAGCTGTGGTATTGATTTCTTACTGTGGAATATTGTTTACCAGCGAATTTCTCGAACAGGGTCTAAACTAAAAGCAAAATATATGTGTCGGGCAACACGAATAGACCAAGCTGTTTGCCCGGTGATAAATGAATTTTTGTACACCAATCCTTTGACACGTAAAAGAGTCTCCAGCAATTTCAAAGGAATGATCATATATACACTACTTCAGAAAATTATAATTTCAAAAAGCGCGTCCAGTTCAATATATAGAGAGAGTGATCAGTTTATTGCCTAAAATGGTGATTGTATAGCAAAATGGCTTGTATGTCTGATCTTAGAGCAATGCAATGTTGATCTATTGCATTTTTATTTTGGGTAACAAAACGGCAGCTATGACAATAATAGTTCAATGCAGGTCTAATAGAATATTATATTGTCGCTATACAAATAAAACTTTTTGCTATATAGTATGGAAGCCTATAAGTACCATTCATAATTTCAACTTTTCGCCTCTTCAGAACACGAAAGTCGAAAAGTCGAAAAGTAGAAGTTACGACAAAATGTGAGGCGACAAGACGGTATACAAGCCAAAATCAACTCGAAAATAGGAAATTAAGAAATAACACACTGCGATAATAGCGCCCCCCGTTTTTTCTTAATTTCTACTTTTCGACTTGCATTTTGGTTTGTATACCGTCTTGTCGACTTTCGACTTAGTCATATTTTTGTATTTATTGATGTCAGTAAGAAGGCGCCAACACTCTATACAAGCCAAAATGCAACTCGAAAAGTAGAAATTAGGAAATTAACACACTGCGCTATTAGCGACCTATGATCTGTCGTACTGTCGACTTTTCGACTTTCGACTTTTCTACTTTTCGACTTTCGACTTTTCTACTTTTCGACTTTTCGCCTAGGAAGTTGTTGTAGTCTCTGCCTTCCAGGTCACATTTGAATACGCGCAATTCCGTTAACAAAAATATCTGTCTGATAGAGTCTAGTAATGATGGTGATTATTTTGGTTAACACTCTTTCGTAGCCAATACAAAGTGACAGGCATCATAGCCACTAGACCAGAATGATTGAACGCTGCCAGCCTTCACCTTCGAAATATCAAGGGAAATAATTTGAACAATTGGGGGCAGACCACATTGACTACTACATAAATGTTAAAACCCGTTTACCTGTTATTCCAGGCCAGGAGTTTAAAGTAGAAAAATAAACTAATATAGCCTTATTTATATCGCTAACTTTGACAATCTGTCACCCATAACGCCATCAATCCCGCCCCCAATATACACAAAAAAGTGACGAAAGAAATAAATATTCTATACACCCCCACCCACCACCCACAAACACCGTATTTATATCGGAGATTGGCTCTCACAGCAGCAGGATTTTTTTTAAAATTTCGATTGGCCCCAAGACACGATTTTGTATTTAGATTCGTGTCACAGCAGGAATTTCTTCATTTGTCCAAACCACAGGATTTTTTTTAGGTTATCCCTCACGGCAGGGATTTTGCTCAGATTAATCTCCAGCGGGATTTTTCTGTACTCATTTATATTAGTTCAGATTGGCCTTCACAGCAGGATGTTCTATAGGTTGGTCCCAACAGTAATATTTTCTATAGATTACTATCACAGCATATTTATTACTGTTACAGCATATTTATTAATATAACAGCATATTTATTACTATTATTTATTACTTCTACAGCATATTTATTACTATTACAGCATATTTATAGTGGACCCTTTCATATACCGTGTCCAGTGGCACTTTACAAACTGGCAATGTAACCATATATAAAAAAACAAAACAAAACAAACAAACAAGCAAAATTATGGACATATTATCAGTCGCATACTGTGTCAGTTAAATCCTGTTTAAATAAACGTGTTAAGTTGTTTTTTAAAAAAATATAAAGATGTACACTATTTTATAGTAAATGGAAGATTATTTCATAAAACAGGCAGTTAAAAACTAAAAGAGTCCCGGCGATAAGAGACAAATAAAACAGGGTTGGCCTTGAAAAGTAATTTATCTTAGGCCCTATGTAGGCTATGAATGTTCGGCGCATCAGAATTTTTCGTCACAATAGCAATTACAACAGAATGGCTTTTCAGCTTGGTTCACACAGTAGGATTTTCTATAGACTGGTTCCAACAGCACCAATTTTCTTTAGAATATCCATTATATCAGGAATTTCGTGAGATTATCCATCACAGCAGATTTATTCGGCAGAATTGCCACTACAAGACTTTTTTTTGTCAGAATAGCTATCGCAGCAGAATTTTCTATAGAATGGTCACAGCAATGGGAATTGTGATTAGATTATTCAGCAGAGCAGGAATTTTCGTTAGATTATCCACCACAGCAAAAAAATAAATTAATCACAATAGCCATTACACCAGAATTTTCGTCACAATAGCCATTACACCAGAATTTTCGTCACAATAGCCATTACACCAGAATGGCTTTCCAGCTTGGTTCTCACAGTAGGATTTTCTATAGATTGGTTCCAACAGCACCATTTTTCTTTAGAATATCCATTATATCAGGAATTTCGTGAGATTATCAATCACAGTAGAAATATTCGGCAGAATAGCCACTACACCAGACTAATTTTTTTGTCAGAATAGCTATCGCAGCAGAATTTTCTATAGAATGGTCCCAGCAATTACTAGACTCTATCACACAGACATTTTTGTTAACGGGAATTGCGCGTATTCAAATGTGACCTGGAAGGCAGAGACTACAACAACTTCCTAGGCGAAAAGTCGAAAAGTCGAAAGTCGAAAAGTCGACAGTACGACAGATCATAGGTCGCTAATAGCGCAGTGTGTTATTTTCCTAATTTCTACTTTTCGAGTTGCATTTTGGCTTGTATAGCGTGTTGGCGCCTTCTTACTGACATCAATAAATACAAAAATATGACTAAGTCGAAAGTCGACAAGACGGTATGCAAGCCAAAATGCAAGTCGAAAAGTAGAAATTAAGAAAAAACGGGGGGCGCTATTATCGCGGTGTGTTATTGCTTAATTTCCTATTTTCGAGTTGATTTTGGCTTGTATACCGTCTTGTCGCCTCACATTTTGTCGTAACTTCTACTTTTCGACTTTCGTGTTCTGAAGAGGCGAAAAGTAAAAATTATTTGTTCACTGCATTGTATCTACAAAATTGTGCATTATTAATACTGTACTTACTTGGATGTATCTAAATCCTAGTTTGGTATATAGCCTGTATCTTCAACGTATGATGGTCCCTAGATTATATTTACTATATGAACTGTTCTGTATCTTAAAGGGACACAGGTATGTTTAGTTCAATAATTCGTTTGCAAGTGACACGCGAGGTTAGCGAGCGAGAAAGCGAGAGAAATTGGATTTTAACATCCATTAAAGATACATTATGTAAGATTTAGATAAAGAGCTAGCCATTCTTGCTATAATAGTTCGAAAATAGATAATCTAAAATGAAACACAGAGTGGTTATGCAAGCGAAGTGTGTCGAAAAATCGAATTTGACACACATCAATTTAAAAATGTATTTTTCATTTGATGGCGGGCATTTCTTTCAAAGTAACTACCAAATTAAAAAAAAAATGAAAAATAAAACCCCATTAATTTGGTAACAAAAGGGCAGCGATAATCTCAAAAATTTAATTTCGAGAATTCTTGATGGTAGTAATTCAAAATGGTGGAATTTTCATTAAACGTCATTTCTTTCCGTTGGTTATGACTTGTAATATGTGGTATATTAGTCACGAAATGACATAGTTGCTCTTAGATGAATATACTGTTAACGCGCTTTAAACATCTAGATGCAAAAGACAAGGTGTAAAAACTTGATGTAATAAAACACATAATTTATTCAGCTTGACGCAATGAATAGATGCGGTTCGTTTAACTTGAATGTAGATATATAATGCATATATAGGACCGTTCGGATGAATCACATCATAGGTATATGTTATTTGATAGTTTTACGTTTTCGTCAACATTAAGGTGTACATGTTCTATAGTTCCATTTAGCCTATACATTTTCTTGTTTCACTTGACTAAACAAAACATTGTGTAGGAATGTAGGCTTTTATAGATTATACTCTTCAAAAAAAAGTAGGGGATATTAAAATGCAAATACCTATGCAGGTTGTAATATGTGTAGTCATGGACACTAGACATGCTTTGAGAGTATGTTCACGTATGAAGAACTTATCGCCCCAACAGAACCACTGAGCGGCACATGCGACAAGCAATAGCGCCATACGCGAAGGTTCTTTGTCAAATTTGACACTTCAAGGAAGGGTTGATGAAAACTGCCGCGTGCTGGTTTATCTATCCATGTTTGCTTTCCCATCGGTTATTGCATAATATTTACTGTTTAGCGTATCTTTGCTTTAGTGTGTTACGTTTAATTTGATCGGGAGATGTGTTCGTCGACGTCAACGGACAACACTGCAAGAATTAGTCGTCGCACTGCAAGAGGAGTGGGTCAGATTGCCCCAAATCGTGACTGGACAGTTCATTAAGAGCATGCCACGACGAATTGCTGAATGCCTGAGGATTGGTGGAGCAATTACTCATTTTTAAGACAAACATCAAAAACGTTCATTTTCACTTTTGACGGTGTATCTATTTGCGAGTGTAAACGGACCGTCAGATAAGCCGCCCATATGAAATGTTTATATTCATGTGTAGGGCATTGGCCTTTTATTAACATACACTGGTTACCTCTAATAAAAACAGCAGTGCATTTCCGCAGTTTTGTATTGTTTCTGAATATCCCCTACTTTTTATGAAGAGTATATATTTGATACTAGTTGAGCATCAGAAAAACATGATTATTTCACTGGGTATGGGACGCAAATACCCAAAGGTGTCGGACAAACACTAAAGCAACTGCGTCTCCTTCACTGGGCACCTTTAATGTATGTCTACCTGTGGAATAACATGTACATTATTTGTATCTGTTAAATTTGTGAGGTTTATATATTAGATTAATATTATTATTTACTCATGGGCGCATGAGCGGCCCCTTTTACTGACCGCGGAGCCCGGATGGGGGGTCCGGGGGCTCTCCCCCATTAAATTTTGAAAAATGGAACCCCAAATATGCGATTTGGTGGCATATCTGATTATAATCTCTGTCAAATAATATATCTCATCAATCGATTAATTTAGGCCAAAACCCCAACCTGCAAGTAATTTACAACCATCAACCTATTATCATTGTATCGTCAAGACCAGCAACATCAAATTTTCGCCCGATCGCCCGATGGCCCAATCCGCCCCTGCATGGGCGGGGAGAGATAACGTCTTACCCCAAACAAATTGCAAAAGACACCAGGAAGTTTCGTAGAGCGATATCTCGTCTCACATGTCACTGATGAAACAATATGCCCGAAACACATGTTACGCTAGACACCTTTTATTTAAAGGTAAATCGCTAATATTTGGGACTTACAAATTGACACAAACGGGTCGGAAATAATGTAATATGAATGTAAATAAACTGATTCGGTATTTCGGCGAACATAACTGCTTTGAAATTAGAGTAAAAACGGAAACGATTGAACGTAAATCAATTTATATACATTCATATTACATTATTATATGCTTTGCGACCCATTTATGTCAATTTATAGGTCCCAAATATTAGCGATTTAGCTCCTTTAAATTACACTGATTTTAAGCTACACTGATTTTAAATGTTTTATCTAGTCAATTTAAAGAAATTTCTATTTTCGAAAAATTGATGATACAATTAATGATTGATGACCCAATCCGGAATGGCTCCAGACCAAAAAATAATGGAATTTCAGGCATTTATTCTGCCGGCTAGAAGGCAAAAAGGTTTTATGTCCCAAATTACTATATAATTTAAATTTTAATTTTTCACTTTACCCGTCTGCACAAAAAATCTGATTTTTAAAAGCGTATGCAAGTTAAATATAATATTTAATAGCGCTTTTATCTGGTGTATCATTCATTTCATTTTCTTATGAATTGGACTATATTATTATAACAATAATGTGCGCTTTTTGTTTTATAATAATAATAATAGTTTGTTCAGCTATACTTTTCGTTTATCTCTTTTTCGCGGAATTCTATGAGATATCCATCTACATCCCTGTCATTGGCAGCCAACATATACACGACAGTATGAGAGGACATAAAATAGAAAGTGAGTAGGTAAAGTGAAAAATTAAAATTTAAATTATATAGTAATTTGGGACATAAAACCTTTTTGCCTTCTAGCCGGCAGAATAAATGCCTGAAATTCCATTATTTTTTGGTCTGGAGCCATTCCGGATTGGGTCATCAATCATTAATTGGCCATAATTCAGGAAATTAAAATTCGATATGCGCTAATATCGAAAGGAACCGAAATCTTTGGGTTATAAACTTACATTTCAAGTTTCAACAAAATCAGATAAAAATTGTGACTTTGATATACCATGTTTTTACGCTATTATAGAACGAAGGGCGGCCATTTTGTCTGTCAATTTTGGGCTGAATTTCACGAAATTCGAACTCCGCCGTCCTTATGGTGTAACGGTGATATAATTATACGTTTTTTTAAATCGGATAAAAATTATGACCTCTGTAGGGTCCACAAGCTAAAAACACGATTTTTCGTACAATCAGGGGGCATAATTCAGGAAGTTATGGCCCGATATGCGCGAATGTCGAGAGGAACTGAGATCTTTGTGTTATAAACTTACATTTCAAGTTTAAACAAAATCGGATAAAAAGTGTGACCTCTATAGGGTCCACAACCTTGATATACCATATTTTTACGCTATTTGAGAACGAAGGGCAGCCATTTTGTCTGTCATTTTTGGTCCGATTTTCACGAAATTCGGACTCAGTCGTCCTTGGGGTGTAACGGTGATATACTATTCAAAAAAAGTAGGGGATATTTGATTTTTAAGTGTTATTAAAGTCACCTAATGAAACTGACGAAGAAACAAATGACAAAATGAAATGAAGTTCACATTCATCGATTTATTCCAAATGATCGTTAGACTAAGTAAGGCACAGACTGACCATTATAAGGGTAAAATGATACCCGGGGTCAAACAGCAAAGTTACCACAGCATCACAACCAAGTCAGTAACGGGTAAATCCTCCTCTGTTTGCCAAACAAGCATTGATCCGACGTGGCATACTCCTAATGAGACGTCTAAGGTCATTTTGGTCCAGATTGTCCCATTCCTGTTGCAACGCAGCAGCAAGTTCTTGGACATTGGCAGGACGTTGTTGACGTTGACGTAACCTCTGTCCAAGCATGTCCCAGACATGCTCGATGGGGGAGAGGTCGGGACTCAGTGCTGGCCAAGGTAATGTGGTGATGTTCTGTTGTTGGGGGTAACCTGTAACGATCCTGGCCCTGTGACATCTTGCGTTGTCATCCTGGAAGATGAAACGGCGGCCATGACGTCGTGCGAACGGCACAACATGGACTGCCAAGATGTTGTCCCGGTAGTACTGGCCTGTAACACGCCCTGCAACAACATGTAAAGCCGTTCTTCCAGCAACAGTGATGCCTCCCCACACCATAACAGAACCACCCCCAAATCGATCATGTCTGATGACGTTAACGTCTTGGAAGCGCTCGTTTCGACGACGCCACACCCTCCTACGTCTGTCCAAAAAATCAACAGTGAACCTTGACTCATCTGAAAACATCACATTGCTCCAGCGTCGATTATCCCAGTGTTGACGATCCCTACACCAACGACGTCTTGCCTGAATGTGATGATCTCTCAAACAAGGGATCACGCGAGGACGTCGGGCGCGAAGGTGACCCCTATGCAGTCGATTCCGAATCGTCTGGCCACTCACTCTCACACCAGTGTCTGTTTGAAGACGAGCGCTGATCTAATTTGCTGTGATGACACGATTTCTCAAGGCCAAGGTACGGATAAATCGATCCTGGGCTTGAGTTGTCGCCCTTGGTCGACCTGAGCGTGGTCTGTCCTGTACAGATTGTGTATCACGGTATCTGGACCATAGCCTGCTTATGACAGACTGAGAAACATTCATCGTCCGCGCCACAACCGCCTGTGTTGTGCCGATCTGTAGCATGCCAAGGGCACGTAACCTTTCATTTTGGGTAAGCCGACGCATATCAAAATTTGTTTTCTGGTCACTAAAACAATTAAACTGATGTTTCCACCCTGGAATTCAATGCCACAATGACTGTAACATTCAATCTCAGAGTCGTGCAAATCTTGGGTTGGACCCCCATGATGATCCCAAGCATCACCTGCATTCCATGCGGTAGCTATTGGTGCGTTTGGGCGTCACATGTAACTGGAAATGTTTCTTCTGTTAGGTTCTATAGTGAC